TTATTATTTAAAATAAAATTATCTACTAAACAAAAGCCTTATCTGTATATAAAATCTTTATAAATATTTTAAAAATTCTTATATAATATCTCTTAAATTAGTTTTATTATTTTTAAGATTAACTATTATTAATTAAGTATAAGAAATATTTTTAATTTTTTAAAAATATAATATACTAGTAATATCTACAGGGTATTACTGAAGTCTATAATTAAAAATTTTATTTATAAATATATTATATTTTAAAAAATATTATTTATCTAGTTTATTATTTTATAGTATATAATAAGATAATAAAATTATATACTAAAAAAGAGTGTATCTTTTTTTTTTTTTATAAAAAGACTGCAGATATCTTCAAAGATTTTATTTACTATTATTATTATTTATTTAATAAAATTATTAAAATAATTAGTATCTGTCTATCTGTCTAATATATTATTTTAAATTATATTAAAATATATAACTATCTAAGTAATATTTTTAATTAAATCTTAACTAGAAATATTATTACAGATACTACTATTATAAATATTTATTTATTATTAATATTTTTTTCTGCTACTCAGGCTGTTTTATATAAAAGAATTTTAATTTATTTTTTTATATATATTTATATTATATCTCTGTGAAGCTATAATTTGGATTTTAATAATCTATATATTTAGAAATTATATTATTAATCTAAATCTTATATATATCTTTAGAATACTTGAGGGCACTAAGTATACTAAGTTTAATTAAAATTATTAAATATTATAAAAATAAGTATTACAGTAATAAGTGTGATAAGAATAAGTATTATATTAATTATTTTTTTTATTTAATTATTATATTATTTTATAAGAAGAAGTTCAAGTTTTTTACTTCTTATATATATCTTTTTTATAATAGAAAATAGATCTTAATATTTTATATATTTTTAGGATTCTCAAGGGCTCTAAGTATACTAAGTTTATTTAAGATTATTAAATATTATAAAAATAAATATTATAGTAATAAGTATTATAAGAATAAGCATATACTGTATACATATTATTTAAATAAATATAAATTAATTTTAAATTAAATATTATAATAAAATAATAAAGCATATAGTAGCAGCAGCTGTTATAATACTAGAAGATTTCTATTTATTTAATATATTTTATTATCTTGTCTTTCTAAGTAAGAAAGATTATATAAAAAAAATAATTCTATTATTATATTTAAATCTCTGTGATTTCTTTGATATATATATAATAGTAATAACTATTATAGTACTGAAAGATCTCTATCTGCTTAATATATTTTATTATCTTATTTCTCTAAATAAGAGAGATTATATAAAGAAAATAATTTTATTATTATATTTAAATCTTTATGATTTTTTTAATATATATATAGCAGCAGTAACTATTACAGTATTAAAAGATCTTTATTTACTTAATATATTTTATTATTTTATTTCTCTAAATAAAAAAGATTATATAAAAAAAATAATCTTATTATTATATTTAAATCTCCATGATTTTTTTGATATATGTATAGTAGTAATAACTATTATAATACTAGAAAATCTTTATTTATTTAGTATATTTTGTTATCTTGCTTCTCTGAATAAAAGAGATTATATAAAGAAAATAATTTTATTATTATATTTAAATTTTTATAATTTCTCTGATATATATGTGGCAGTAGCAGCTGTTATAATATTAAAAGATTTTTATTTACTTAGTATATTTTGTTATCTTATCTCTCTGAATAAGAGAGATTATATAAAAAGAATAATCTGAGGTTATATAAAAAGAATAATTTAAAATTATATAAAGAAGATAATTCTATTATTATATTTAAATTTTTATAATTTTTTTAATATATGTGTAGCAGTAGCAGCTATTATAATATTAAAAAATCTCTATTTACTTAATATACTTTATTATCTTGTTTCTCTAAATAAAAAAGATTATATAAAAAAAATAATCTTATTATTATATTTAAATCTTTATAATTTCTGTAAGAAATAAATTATAAAGTAGATAGCAGAGTTTTTATAATACTAGAAGATTTTCTTTTATTTCTATGATTCTATAAGAAATAAATAGTAGAGTAGATGCCAGAGCTCCTGTAATACTAGAAGATTTTTTTTTATCTTTATAATTCTGTAGGAAGTAGATAATAAAACAGATACTAAAGTTTTTATAATACTAAAAACTTTTTTTCTTACTACAAGAGCTCTTTATTTTTTTAGTATATTTTATTAACTTGTCTCTCTAAGTAAAAAAGATTATATAAAAAAAATAATTTTATTATTATATTTAAATCTCTGTAATTTCTCTGATATATATATAATAGTAATAACTATTATAATATTAGAAGATTCTTATTTACTTAATATACTTTATTATCTTACTTCTCTAAGTAAGAGAAGTTATATAAAAAGAATAATTTAAGATTATATAAAAAAAATAATCTTATTATTATATTTAAATCTCTATAATTTTTCTAATATATATATAACAGTAGTAGTTATTACAGTACTAAAAGACTTTTATCTACTTAATATATTTTATTATCTTATTTCTTTAAATAAAAGAAACTATATAAAAAGAATAATCTGAGATTATATAAAAAAGATAATTTTATTATTATATTTAAATCTCTGTGATTTCTTTAATATATATATAATAATAGTAGTTATTGTGATACTGGAAGATTCTTATCTACTTAATATATTTTATTATTTTATTTCTTTAAATAAGAGAGATTATATAAAGAGGATAATTTTATTATTATATTTAAATCTCCATGATTTTTATAGAAAATAGATTATAGAACAGGTAGCAGAGCTCTTACAGTATTAAAAGATCTTCTTCTATTTCTGTGATTTTATAGAAAATAGATAATAGAGTAGATACTAGAGCCTTTATAATATTAAGAACTTTCTTTTTTATTATAGAAATCTTTTATTTTTTTAATATATTTTATCAGCTTGTCTCTCTGAGCAAGAGAGATTATATAAAAAGAATAATCTTATTATTATATTTAAATCTCTGTAATTTTTTTAATATATATATAATAACAGTAGCTGTTATAGTATTAAAAGATCTTTATTTATTTAGTATACTTTATTATCTTATCTTTTTAAATAAGAGAAACTATGCAAAGAGAATAATTTAAGATTATATAAAAAAAATAATTTTATTATTATATTTAAATCTTTATAATTTTTCTGATATACATGTGGTAGCAGTAGCTATTATAATACTAAAAAATCTTTATTTATTTAATATATTTTGTTATCTTGTCTCTCTGAGTAAGAGAGATTATATAAAAAAAATAATTTTATTATTATATTTAAATCTCTGTGATTTTTATAAAGAATAAATTATAGAATAGATAGCAGAGCTCTTATAATACTAGAAAATCTTCTTTTATTTTTATAATTTTATAGAGAATAAATAGTAGAGTAGGTACTAGAATCTTTATAATATTAAAAATTCTTTCTTTTATTACAGGAATCTTCTGTTTTCTTAATATACTTTATCAGCTTGTCTTTCTAAGTAAAAGAAATTATATAAAAAAAATAATTTTATTATTATATTTAAATCTTTATGATTTCTCTGACACATGTATGACAGCAGTAATTATTATAATACTAAGAAATCTTTATTTATTTAATATACTTTGTCATCTTATCTCTCTAAATAAAAGAGATTATATAAAGAAGATAATCTTATTATTATATTTAAATCTTTATAATTTCTTTAATATATGTGTGGCAGCAGCAGCTGTTATAATATTAAAAGATCTTTATTTATTTAATATATTTTATTATCTTATTTCTCTGAGTGAGAAAGGTCATGTAAAAAAAATAATCTAAGATTATATAAAAAAAATAATTTTATTATTATATTTAAATCTTTATAATTTCTTTGATATATATATAATAGCAGTAGTTATTATAATACTGGAAGATTTTTATCTGCTTAATATACTTTATTATCTTATTTCTTTAAGTAAGAGAGATTATATAAAAAAGATAATTTTATTATTATATTTAAATCTTTATAATTTCTTTAATATATATATAGTAATAGCAGCTATTATAATACTAGGAGACCTCTATCTACTTAATATATTTTATTATCTTGTTTTTCTATGCAGGCAGAGATTATAGAAAAAAGAAAAAAAAAGAAAGATAATCTTATTATCTTTTAAATCTCTGTAATTTCTGTAGAAAATAGATTATGGAATAGGTAGCAGAGCTTTTATAATACTAAAAGATCTTCTTCTACTTCTATAATTCTACAGAAAATAAATAATAAAATAGATATTAGAATCTTTATAATATTAAGAGTCCTTTCTCTTACTACAGGAGCTCTCTATTTTCTTAGTATATTTTATTGACTTATCTCTCTGTACAGACAAAGATTATAAAAAAAAAAAAGAAAAAAAAAATAATTTTATTATTATTTAAATCTCTGTGATTTCTTGCAGGGAATAAATAATATATTAAATAGAAGTATTTCTATAATATAGATAATAAAGTAGATAAGAATATCTTTATAATATTAAAAATCTTTATATTATATATTATATATATTTTTTATTTTCTTAATTTATTTTATTTTTTTTTCTCTCCATGCAGCTAGCAAGATAGAAAAAAGAAAAGAATATAAAAAATTAAAAAAAAAGATAATAAAAAACAGATTAAATATGAAGATGATAAACAGTATATAATTATATTATAATTAAAAAAACTTTATAAAATAGAGAGAAAGAGGTAGATAAATAAAATCAAAAAAAAAAATAAAAAATAAAGAACAGATAAACACAGAATAGAATAAAAAAGAATAATATATTTAAATATTTAATATTTATAAAGTTAGAGGGGACCAGGATTAAAATAAAAATAGAAAAAATATCTTAATAAAAAAGAAATAATAAATAAAATTCTATATTTTATAATCATCTGCATTATACTGTATATAATAGATTTATTTTAATTTATTTTAATTTTAGAAAGGATCACAGTACTGTAGATAATATTAATTAAATATTAAATTATACTTTTTAAATCTAGATTTAATTATTTACCTGGCTTATCTGTCCATTACTAATTAATATATTAATATAGAATTAATATATTATAAATAGTTAACTCTATCCAGCAGCTTGGCTATACTGTATTAAGATTATTAAATATTATATAATTAAATATTATAAATAATTAACTTTACTGAGCAGCTTGGTTATATTATATTAAGATTATTAAATATTATAAGATTAAGTATTATAATAATTTAATAAAATTTATATTATATTTTTATATTATTTATATATCCCACGGGTCCTATATATATAATATATTTAATATATAATATAACTTTTAAAATACTTATTATATTATATATATCTTAACAGTATTAGAACTATACTATATTAGAACTATTAAAAGTTATAGAATTAAATATTATAAATAATTAACTTTATCCAGCAGCTTGGTTATATTATATTAGGATTATTAAATATTATATAATTAAGTATTATAGTAATTTAATAAAATTTATATTATATCTTCATGTTATCTATATATTCTATAAATTTTATATATATAATATATCTAATATATAATATGACTCCTAAAATATCTAATATATTATATATATTCTGATAGTCTTAGAGTTATACTGTATTAGAATTATTAAATATTATAAAATTAAGTATTATAGATAGTTAATCCTACTGAACAGGCTGGATCTGCTATATTAAGATTATTAAGTATTATAAGATTAAGTATTATAGTAATTTAATAAAATTTATATTATATTTTTATATTATCTATATATCCCACGGGTTTTATATATATAATATATCTAATATATAATATAACTTCCAAAACACCTACTATATTATATGTATCCTGATATTCTAATAATCTTAGAACTATATTATATTAGAGTTATTAAATATTATAAAATTAAATATTACAGGTAATTGATCTTACTGAGCAGCTTGGCTATATTATATTAAAATTATTAAATATTATAAGATTAAGTATTACAGGCAATTAATCCTACTGAACAAGCTGGATCTGTTATATTAGAATTATTAAATATTATATAATTAAATATTATAGTAATTTAATAAAATTTATATTATATTTTTATATTATCTATATATCCCATGGGTCTATTAGGGTTTTTAGGGTTTTTTATTAGGGTTTATTAGGGTTTTAGGGTTTATTAGGGTTTTAGGGTTT